GATCGTCGAACAGACGGGTGGATGGTGTCGACCAACCACGGCACGTCGGCGACGATTACTGCATGATGAAGGGGGGAACGGGGAACATTTATTGCATAACACTGCGGTCATGTGTGCATTAGCGCGCGATATCTACTTTTATTACTAATGGTTATAAGAATAAAGGTGCGTTGACTTGTCARCAACGTTAGCAATAGGTGTGTTCGGGGAATGTTATGATAATTTATAAGGCTGAAAATTCCGTGACGCTACAAAGTATAACGTTAGGTATTTATAAAAAGTATGATTAGTTCAATACAAATGACTTTAGACGATATTTATATAGCGGATTCATCAACTTTTTTCCTAAATTTTTTTACGACCTTTTATATTCACCCAAATGTATTGTACAGACGTATTTTAGATGTCAAAAAATGTGAAMTTAACGTTAAAAATATAACGTTAGGTATTTATAAAAAGTATGATTAGTTTAATAGAAATGACTTAAGACGATATTTAGCGGATTCATCACCTGTTATTAAAAATTTTTTTACGACCTTTTATATTCACCCAAATGTATTGTAAAGACGTGTTTTAGATGTAAAATAATGTAAACTTAACGTTAAAAATATAAAAAGTATGATTAGTTTAATAGAAATTACTTAATACGATATATAGCGGATTCATCAACTTTTTTTCCTAAATTTTTTTACGACCTTTTATATTCACCCAAATGTATTGTACAGACGTGTTTTAGATGTCAAAAAATGTGAACTTAACGTTAAAAATATAAAAAGTATGATTAGTTTAATAGAAATGACTTTAGACGATATTTAGCGAATTCATCACCTGTTTTTCAAAATTTTTTTACGACCTTTTATATTCACCCAAATGTATTGTAAAGACGTGTTTTAGATGTAANACGTGTTTTAGATGTAAAATAATGTGAACTTAACGTTAAAAATATAAAAGTATGATTAGTTCAATACAAATGACTTTAGACGATATTGACAAGGCCCGCAACGGCAACCAGTACAAAGTACAGGTACCGCAGCGACCTGCCTACGCTCTTGTCAACCGCCACCACGGGATACGACCGCGCGACAGTCGACTCTCCCGCCACGCCGCAACGGCACATGCCCGGACGGGAAGAGAAGTCGCTCCGGACACGGACCGGCCGTCGCCGCTATCTCTCTCGTTTTCCGACGGTCGTACGACCTGGAACGCCTCACCTTCGGACAACTAACACAACCACGACCGATCGATATTAAAACCGCGTGATCGTACAAACTTTAGCCAACGCTCGACCCGTACGTGCGTATCTGTGTCATTTTCGTGATTACCCTCAATAAAAACGTCTTCTTAAGACTACACCACAAATTAGWGATTGCATTGTGTTTTTCTATCACCTCACCACACCTTGACCGGCCGACGCTTCACCACCTCGCTTACATTGTTGTTCTTATGCGAACCAGTCTGAGCTGCTTGGTGCTGATTCCAAATTTCTGGTGGATAACGTGGAAGAATCCCTCGTCTTCTTCCTCGAGCTATTACTCCATGAACATAATTTTTTTCAAAGTATTCAATAATTGGTGATAGAGCTTCAGGTGCATCATTTTTCAATAGAGAGAAAATGCGAGAAACTTCAGTCAATGGAACGATAATAATATTTCAACGAACGATTTTCGGGGTCATTATATTCGGCTTGAAGACCAGCAAACTGAATTTGACGATACATTGATTGGCCGAAATGAAAAAAGCAACAACTAATAGGAGAATATTTGGATAAACTTCTTCACAAGCATTGATTATGGMTTTYTCAAAATCAGTCATGATYTTAACCGGTTCACAAGAAATCCTGTGTTCGTTAAATGACRATTGTACTGCTCTAAGCACTAAGCACAGAAATACTATTTAAGTGGTTATCAAAACTAAATAAATATCCCGATTGCGTCTGTCGTCCGATACGTATTTTGACATGAATATCGATTCTGATTCTGATTTCCCCTCTCAAAAAAGGGGTACTTGTAGTTCCAGTATGTATTTGACAACGAATGCGTGTGAAAAGTTTTCATTCGAAATTTAATTCACTATTCTATACTTCACATACAAATATATTTCAATTTTTGAAAATTTTGAAACAATGTCAAACAGATRCCATAAAAAAAATACAATCTATAGTTTGTACTCCTCGCGGAAAACAACTAAAAAAATTAATACAAACTTAAATCATAAAATTAAAAAAACTTGGAAATAACTAATTTTGATTTTGTACAAATATTAAGTTTTAAAAATCTACCTCTAACACTATGATTATTTTAATATTCGACTAGGTACCTATTTATTGACAAATTAATTGTGTTTCATATTTTTTTTTTATTGTAAACAATTTATTATTGCCACCTATTTAAATACCTTTTATACTTTATACTTGTTTCATAATAATGTACGTATATCGACGTACCTACTTCATATTATTATAATTAAAGTTTGAATTTCAAATACAAATTCGTCCAATACACTTATACAGTATTTAAAATATTGACTTTATTTTATTAATTATAAGGTATTTTGTGAACCCATATGTCTTTGGACGCAATCGGAATGGATCGCGGACAATTTCACCTTGTGATAATTCACCGCCAACATTTCACCGTATTCACAATTCACTGCATATACAATTCACCGATATACAATTCGTCGTAGCTATAGTAAAATGTATTAATAAGTAAATAACATAATAGTATAATTTTTCATTTAATTAAAAACTATAAATTAGGTTATGCAAATACATTTACATACTGTCCAAAACATAATAGTATAATTTTTCATTATATTAAAAATTATAAATTAGTTTATGCAAATACATTTACATACTGTCCAAGAAAAATAATATTACAATAAATTACTATGCCTACATAAATATTCAAACATTTAACTGAAAATTATGGGCTATTCCTCTTAAGTAATCTTCTGTTATTCTATTATGATAGTCATCATACACATTTTTTAACCTTTCAGCAGTCTTTATATTTTCTTTTAACGCCCATAGAATGTCCGGCAATAAACTGTTCATCATGGATTTTATTTAATGATTCTTCTTTTTTAAGCGCCTCAATACACTTCCAAATACTAGGATGAATTAAATTTAATGTAGATGAAAAACTATTATGCCAACCTTCGACAGAATTGTTTGTTCTTGTAATATTTTCTGCTAAATAAGCATAACAGTTCCATAAATATACCCTTTTAATATTAATTTATCTTTACCCCGTTCACTTTTAWTATACGATATATTATTCATAACTATAAAATGAAACACTCTTGTTCACGTAGGTACCTACTGGATAATACCGACACAATAGTTCTACAATCAGTACCTAACAATATGTATACATGTATGATTATATTTATAAACAACTAATTTATAATCGTATAACATGTATGCCAATCTGGTGATTTTTAAATTTAGAATGTAGGATAAGGAAATACATTTGTATCAGTAAGATAAACTTAATGGCCCATCATATTAAAAATGCCATGTCGTAATTTAATATATAGATATCAAATGAAAAAATTGGTTTAAAGATACTGTGTTTAGACATTTTACATTTACTATGAAACAACTGCKATGAATTATGCACGCGGTGAGTTATAAACGCGATGAAATGTTGGCGGTGAATAGTCGCGCGGTGAAATATCCGGATACCATCGGATTAGGTACTTATATTTAGGATAAAATACGACTACCTGAATTCGGGCATCTCCGGCTGGTTGTTATTTTCACTTTTCTTTTCTTACTTTTTCTTTTGTTCCGAACGTTGTGTCAACGTGTACACGCTTACCTAAAAATGTTCACAAATATAATAATATAAACGTTTTCATAAAAATGTTTATTTAACTACTTTGGTTAGACTTTCAGCTGGATTATTCCCCACGAAAATGTTGGGGGCTATTTCAAGCATGTCCTGTTGTTTGGCATTAGCTAAAAACATTCAATATTGTTAATATACAAAGTGTATCTTACTGTAACGTGGTCGGGGATGACCCGTTAAATATATGATCTTCAGGGAAGAAGTTAATTACTTTTAAATATATTTTAAGCGTTGCTCGGGAGCATGATGGGTATTTAGGATTTTAATATTACAAATAAATGCAGACTGATCTAAATAATTGTTAATACATAAAAGTTTTATTATTACTTACGAGCAAAATGTGGGGCTTTCTCCTACATATTCATATTTGGCCGTAGCCTTACAATAATATTTATATTACAAAACAGGAGGGGCTTAATATATATTCAGCATAATATTTATGTTATGTATATGATACACATATATATGTACATATAGTATATATGTTTCTATTGTACATATCATGTTAATATAATATAAATTATGATGTAACAACTAACAATCGTTACATTACTTTTACATAATTCACTATTTTCGACCTCATCCAACAATAAATTGAACACACAATTCGTTATCGCTGTCTTCAAACGCAATATCATCTGAACAATATTATATATATTATAATACTCAATTATAAACATATATATATATATATATATATATATGTTACGGTAAATGACGAAAAATAATAATTTTCGTAATTTACCGTTAAATATCGTTAATATCCATTTTTAATTTATATGAGTAGATTTTTGCGTCAATTACCGGGAATTTACGATAAAAAATTATACAAATGGTTATTGTTGTATTTATATCATATATTATTAACTACTTATTTTCACATGGTAATGATCCATGGCATTTTGAATTACAAAGTTTGCCTGAAGAACGACAAGCACATTTGTTATTTTTACATTTAGTTTAGCAGTGACATCGTTGATACGCTTGAGTGCCTGAAATACCAGCTACCTCTCGAAGAGTAAGCTCTTTTTCTTTGATGAACTTAGGTATGTCTAGAAGTTTTTCTTTACAAGGTACTAGCTCAGATCTTGTGTATTTATGTTTTAGGTGTCCATGTTCAGTACCTATATTAAAAGTACAACATTAATTTTTTGTAAATATTTGAATAATTTATATAATAGGGTTACTCACCTAATTTATAAAGATCATTTTCGACATGTAAAACGACTGCCAATAAATTACGCGGAGCTCCGCGAGCACGATCTACATCTGGTATCGATACGGTTGAACCTATTTCGAGTGGATCAAATCGAGATGACAATAAGAATCGAGAAGACTTTAACATGTTTTCTGCTTGTTTCTGCAAACATGAGACTGATTTTTTTGGTTCGTTCGTTATTTTGTTTTGTCGCTCGTTAACTAAAATAGGTATTTTAAATGTTTTTAATTTTATTTAATGAGAAAAATTATATAAAAAACAAACCAAGTTTTGCTTCATCTTTAGAATAATTTTCACAGTATCCATCACTTAGACTTGAAATATTTTCAGTGTCTTCATCACTATTTTGTGGTAGAATTGATTCAATATCCTCCTCAGTACACAAACATTCAATTTCATTTGTTGGAATACCAATTGAGGCTAATCCTACTCTTTCTGAACATCCGAACATACGGTGATCTACCAATACCTATATAGTAATAATAATACAAAATATTATGTAAAAATTATAGGTATACAAACTACCATGTATAGAAAATAAAATTAAAACTTGATTATAGTATAAATAGGTTAAGTTAATTATAATGTAAATTATTACCTGAATGGATAGCGCGATTTTTTTGAAATTGAATAAATTTTAAGCCATTTGTCCAGTCCTTTGTATTATTTTGTGCCATCCAAGTAGCAAGCATATCTTCTACATCTCTGTTTGCCCTTTCTATGGAACCTTGACTTTGGTTATGCCGAGGTTTTCCGTGGACGATTTTAACGTCACTCCACATTGAATGTAATTCAGTTATTATTGAGTTCACAAATTCACGCCCATTATCCGAATGCAATATAACCGGAGCTCCAAATGTTGTGTAAATATCGATTAGATTGTGAGCAATTTCTTTCGCGTGTTTGCTTGTCAAAGGTTTTAACACAACAAATTTTGTAAGGTGATTTTGATAGTTCATTATGAAACAGAAATTATCAATACACTATCTTTATTTAAAAGCAGTCGGCCGGTTTTACTGCCGTAGGCATTCCACAGTCTTGTGATGTTAGGTTGTATAAAATTAACACCCATCGTTCGACAGCCTACACATKACAAAAAGAAAATAAAAAATTTTAATTTCAACCAAAATAGGTACAATAACCACGACCTAACTGACCTCATTGATGGAACAAGCGAGAATGTCTTGCGTTAGGACAAATCCTTCCTAACATATGTGCCAATAGGCACATGACCAAACAAATGAAAATTTGTAAAGTTCACCCCGCAACCAACCGCAATTGGGTTGAATCTAACAAAGCCGTCTACGTCGCGTCGACTCTTCCGACGACTAGTAGACAACTTAAATTACTGGGAACAACACAGACAATCTTGTTGAATCTAGAAAGTGTGATTCACCAAAAGCGTGAAACCGCAGAATCATTTCCAAGTTGTACATTTTTGATAAAACCTATAAACAAAAACATAAATATGACCAGTCGTTAAGGCACATAGAAACAACATTGAACCAATAGAAAATATAGTAAAATATATACTAACATTTCTTTCTAGATGTTTTTTGTGGGTCACATCGATAAGGTTACTGAGCTGTCGAAGGACGGTAGTAATTCTACTGTCAACATAACACGGCCAATTCTTCAACGAAGATGCCAGTTAATGCAAAATCTGACTAGCCGAGAAACTTCTGAAGAATTCTTACCACTGACGACACATTCTATACGCACGCTACACCCGGTTACGGCGTCCATGAGGAAGTCGGTCATGGAACATATAAAATGGCCGGCTACATCGTCGATACTCCTCACTTGAGCCATGTCACTGTTTTCGACATGAAGGCCGCCGAGCAATAGCCAAGTGACAATGCCGATCGCACTTAACCCGCGCCGAAGAATATGTACGGCGGGGTTGTAGCCCTGTCGAATTTGGCAAAGTATCCTAAAATACACAATTATAATTAAACTTTAATATGCTGTGTTAATAATCGAAACAAAAAAATACTTTGACAGTGGCTATAGGGTTTCCTTTGAAGTATCCAAAGTCGTAACTACCCAGGCCGTGATAAAACTTCACGTTATTGCAAGATTTCAATACATTTTCCCTTCTAAACAAAAAGGACCTGCAGGATGACTGCATCCGCAAGTTGACACCATAATGAAACTGTACAATGACAATAGTAGGATTATAGGGGTCTATAAACCTACTAATGTAAGGTACAGCTGCATCTGGTGACAACTGCAGCCCATGTCTAACGTAATAAAATCTACATAAAAAAATATATATATACATATATTATATATATTATATATGAATAAAATAACAACAGTAAATATACAGTGAACGCAAAACTTTAAAAAAAAAATGATATAGCTTACAGACGTTGCCCGAAAACTTTGTTTGCTCTTAAGAGTCTATCAACTTCAAAGCAAATTTTTGACCAGTCTGAGTGGGGAACATGCCACTTCTTCGCCTTGAAGTTACCGGCCCTCTTCATCCAGCTAAGGGAATGGCAAGACAGGTTGGCCAATGCTAGACCGAAAATGAGTTCAATAAACCTCGACGGCTTGAGATACTTCCTCCGCCTCGGATGAGTCAGACAACTCATGTGGCCGATGAATGGTATTTTTTACACTAATGAGAACCCTTATTAGAAGGTCAGCCCCCCCCCCCAAGGGTGAATTCCACATGTGTGAAGTCTAACAAAAAATACAAATTAATAAAACATCCAATGATTTACAGTCAGAATAAATCATCCAAACAAACCTTAACGGGAATTGCCGAAAATACCATCTAACAGCTTGATGTTGGTGCACTGTGAGATTACACCATCAACATGTACGTCAAACGGCAGTGTGGGTCGGTAAGCCGAGAGGGGAGAAAACGCAAAAACAACGCTATCAACGTCAGTTTTTACTTCTTTTAGCTTACACAACTGGTCAAGCTCAAGAGTCTTAAACTAAAAAGCAAAGAAAAAAAAGCGGGTAAGTGGGTATTTGCTGTACATTAGGGGGTGGGGTGACTAGGGTAGGTTAAATTTGAATGCAATGATAGGTATCATTGTATACGAAAAACGATTCTGAACGAAGATGATTTGTCAGTCTAGGATAATATATTATATTTAAATATTGTCATATATTCTATTTTGAAACACATTCAAACATTTGAGTAAAAGTTTCAAGATCCTACGTTTGGTAATTTTTTTTTAAATAACAAAAATCGAAAATTATTTAGTAGTAAAATGTTGTTTTACACGTGTATTTTTGATTTCAAATTAAAATTAAAACTTTAAACATTCGTAAAAATTTTTTAATTGAATAATCCTCAAACTTTTTATAATTATTTTAAGCTTAACTTATTGACAACAAAGTATTACATTTTCAATTCTTAGCTTTTGATAGTGAAATATTTATAAATTTTTAACTACCAAATAATAAAAAATATTCATGATTTTGACGAATTTTTGTCTGTATTTTAACTTCAAATGTTAATAAAAAATAATTGTGCCAATAGATTCTTATAATTTTTTTTTATCGCCATTAGAATAACTTATGAGAAACTTTGTATTAATTTTTCAAATATTTTGACTCGACCAAAAAAATTTTATCGACACATAAAAAAAAAAATTCTTAGGAAAATTGAAAATTTCAGTTGTCTATAAATTGTATAAATAGCTCAAAAAAAGTCAAAATATTTTGAAAATCAAATCACGTAAAGAAAATGGCAGTCTAAATAACTGATAAAATTGTCAAGTATTTAGGACTATACAATACTATTACTATACTATTTGAATAACAAGAAATATTAAAAATCGTTTGAGGCTAAACCGTTATTAAACGCGGTTTTGTAAAAATTTAATTTTTATAAATAATTAATTTTATAAAATATTTTATAATTTAAATAAAAAAAAAAAACAACAAACAATTCATAATTTTATCAATCACATAAAAAACCCAAAACAAAAATTTACAATCGGAATTTATAATATAAATAAACACTTACCCCGGGTAACAGCCAACCACAATCCTCATGTTCCTGTTCATCGGTATCCTAAAAAAAAATTAAATGTAAATCACAGTACATAAAACACGAAAAAAATTTCATTCCAAATTATTGTACTTACAACATTCTTGGAAGCAGAGTCCTCCTGATTGCCATGGTAAGTGCTAGGTTTCTCAACATGAATGTCTTCAGAAGTGCTGGTTTTCTGTATATCTTCAGGTTCCGAATCATCGTCATCTATTAGGTCAATAAGCTCTACAACGCGATTGCTAGGACGCTCGACCTAGTTAGGTAGTTGCAGAAAAACATTTAAATACGTATTACCTTATACATGTAGACTAATAAAAACAAAAATATAAAAAAATAATAAATGCAAATAAACATACCTTGTAAAAGCATTAAAGAACGAAAAATTTAAAAAAACTGAAAAATAAATTAACTTACTACGTTTGGGGGTGACACCTTATCATCTGACTCCACGTCAAACACCTGGATCAAAGTGCTCGATTGGTTGATCTAAATAAAAATTTTAAAGTAAATTTAATTAGTAAACACCAGCAATGCCTGAAGTAAAAAAAATAATAATTACTCATACCACGTCTTGAATCCATTGCGTTGCAAATAATAATATAGACAATGGATTTCTATAATTCAAATGAAAATTAAATTAAATACATATACATGAAAAACGACCACCCCCGACAACTAAAAAAATACCGTTCATACGGTCTAGAACATTAATATAAGGTTGATATATAGACTAAGTAGATTTTTAGATATTTAATTTTGTATATCCTTTATTAATTAATTTAATAACTGAAAATTAATGTTTAGTTTTATATATTTTTTTAATGATAGGTTATAAGTAAATTATGGGTACAGTAAGTATAAAATATTTTTATAAAATGCTTCAATGTTTTAATTTAATTATTATAAATGCATTGGTATGAGTTAAAAATTATATTTTATAAATTAATATTCTACATTATTTGAATACTCCAAGTACAAAAATATGATACCACAATCAAACACGTCTGCTGTTAGTCCAACTTCTGCAAATGCTGATAATGATATATTTTTAAATTCAATGTAATTAAAAGTAAATTTTTATGATTAATATTCTTCTATTTTTTAGATTCTGAACGGAGTGATGAATGTATTGATTTTACAATGATGTGCGTTTTTTTTTTATTATTTATTTCTGTTATCACGTTTTGGAGTAGTAATAATGCTTCGATTTTTGACTTCAGCCCCTCTTTGAATAGAAAAATTCATCTAATAATTAGTACTTAGGGGGTCAAAAGTAAAACCTAACCTACAGTTTACAAAAAAATCAAGAAAAACAAAAAAAAATTACAGAAAAACGGCAATTTTACGAAAAACCACTTTTCGACTAATCGACTATAATTTAATAATTAACTAATCAGTGTATTAATATAATCCTTAGATGAATCATTTACAGTTGATAACAGTGTTGGTAATGGTTTAGACAATTTTACATCTATTATTGATAACAAAAACCAAAACTACAATCCTCCAGGTAAATATAGCTATATTTTAACATTTGTGGATCTTGTTTCAAAGAATATTAATATTTATAATTTAAAATATTAATTAATGACATCTGTAATTTGATTTAATTTTATTCAGTGGTTTAAGTGAGGGAAACCTCTTTAATTATGTTATATTAATATATTTATCTCAGTTATTTTTTAATTCTCAGTAATTTTACTGTACATTTTTATCAACATTAGACAATGATATGGTTTTTAATAAATTTATCTAATTCATACATTATATTATAATTAAGTAAAATTTAATTTTAAATTATTCTTGATTTAGAAAGCACAGTTAATAATCAAGCAGACACCATGCAAGAAATTAATCTTAATGATATTGACTTTGAGAGTTTAGTGTCTATAGCTCAAAATAAACAGAAAATTCACATTTCTTCAGGTAGTTCAA